GCTTGCTTTGTCGACAGAACTGGATGTAGTCTAGACACTCATGGTCGACAGAAGTTTTGTTGACAGTATCTGTCAACAAAGCCTCTGTCGACAAAAGCCTGTAGTCTAGACGTACCCTGAGTTGCCCAGCAACATGCATTTCTTATTGCTGTATGAAGTCTGTGCGAGAGCATTGCTGCTTTGTGGCTGTTTTGTTTAGTGTATTTTGCAGGTGGGCAATGCAGACAGGTTACTACGTATCTTCTGCCTTCCTTGGATTTTCTGCCCCATGCAGGCCTTTCTTCGTTTATCTGTGGTCCTGCACTCCTTGATGAGTCAGTAAACCTGTGAGGTGGGAATATAAATGTCACAGTGTTAAATCCCCAGGAGTAGTGACATTTCATTTAACACTTCAAGAAGACAAAGGCTCATAATACTGTGTTTCCCAAGTCAGCACAATACTATCCCTGCCACTTGGGAATAATTCTCAAATCATAAAACTTTATTAATGCAAGCAAGACTGACTGGGAAGGTTTAGAACATTTTATGTCCTTTATTAATCTTAAGCATATACAATAAATTCATTTGTTTATCCGCTTCCAGCTATCACGTGTGGGACTGTTACAAAAAGTTACAAAGTCTGGCACTGAAGTTTCTATATACAGTAGTAGTGTAGAGTATGTATGTCTTACACTAGAAGATTCGACTGTAAAATAAGCAGGTTAATTTTACAATCATTACTTAATTCTTCTCCCATGGGGCATTACAGATTGAATTGATTCCTTTTTGAAGCCTGTTAGATCTTGGTCTCAGTGATAATTGATGGCAGTGCATTCCACGGGTTAATTATTCATTGCAGAAAGAAAGTTCCTTTGATGACTTTTAACATTGGCTTTTCAATTTCATCAAATAGTAGACAGACATGCAGTCTGAGACACTCACATTTACTGTGCATTTATAGAGGCAGTTACAATGACTATTCAGGGATGCTGAAAAACAAAATGCTTCTTCTAGGACTAATTGTCTTGTGAAGCCAAATAAAAACTGTTACATCTACACTGCAACAGGCATACGGATCTTGTGCAAAAAAGGGGTTTTTGCACAAAATGGAAGCAGCTACACTGCTTCTCTTTGTGCAAAAACCCCTTGCACAAAAAGAAATGGCAGAAAATATGCTAATGAGATCACAACTTATGCTAATGAGTCCCTCATTAACTTATTTTCTGCCGCAAAAACTCGCAGTGTAGACGTTGCCTAAGTGAATACTTTCTACTCTTGTTTATATCCACTGAGGAAAGCAAATCAACAGCTGTTTTAAAATGCATTTTAGCTGCAGGTTTAGAAGCTAGATTTTGATCTGATTAATTGCTGACCAACTATGAAATGATGGTTTGCTGGAAAACCTAATTGAGTACTCTAATAAGTGTGTGTGAAACTAGAAGCATTGCATGTAAAAACAGAAATGCTTGTCTTGGCAGAAGCAGCATTCTCAAGTCAGGTTTAATCTTCTCTGAACTCCGGTATCCACTTTGCCCCCAATGTCTCTGATATCATTGTACTTCTTGAGTCTGATTCCTATGCCTATGTATTGGTCCATCTCCCTGTCTGAAAACACCGTGTTTGCCACTGCTTCAGATCCAATTCCTCTGACCTCCTGAATATCTTCATTTTCTGGGCTATTTTAACTCCCTTCTCCATGGTCTTCTCAAGTGGTAGCTCTCCAGCATTGGAGATGTTTGCTGTTTCTCACAGAGATATAGGCGCATGCCTACCTTGACTCATAGAATCATAGGAATGTAGAACTGGAAGGGACCTCGAGAGGCCATCTAGTCCAAGACTTAGTATTAGCTAGCTAGACCATCCTTGACAAACCATCCTTGACAGATGTTTGTCTACCACGTTCTTTAAAACCTTTAATGATGGAGGTTTCACAATCACCCTATGTAACTTGTTCTAGTGCTTAACTACACTTAGTTAGAAAGTCTTTCCTAATGTCTACCCTAAATTGCCCTTGCTGCAATTTAAGCCCATTGCTTCTTGTCCTATCGTTTGTGATTAAGGAGAGCAATTTAACACCCTCCTCTTATATAATTTAAGACTATGTCCCCTCTTTCATCATTTCATCATTTTTAATAATTTTTTTTACATCCTCTGGACTTTCTCCAATTTGTTCACATTATCCTCAAACTGTGCTCGGCAGAACTGGACACAGTACTTCAGGAGAGCCTTATCGCGGCTGAGCAGAGTGGAAGAATTACTTCTCATGTCTTTCTTACAACACTTGCTAATTCATCCCAGAATAGCATTCTCTTTTTTTGCAGCAGTGTTACATTGTTAACATATATTTAGTTTGTGATCCATATTTGATTTGTGGATAAAATTACATTTTTTTTACATAAAAAAATTGGATTTTGTTTAATTTTTTTAAATTTAAATCAGATTTTTATTTTTTAAAAATCGACAATAAAATACAAAACTTTTCCTTTAAAAATCACCGTTACACTTAAATCTCATCACAAAAATGCTAGAACTACACATACAGTCTCATAAAAAATGAATTAATGGCTGTAGTCTGTCCAGCCTAACAACCAGCTCGTGCTTCTTGAAAGTTCTGGACTTTCAGTTTCTGTTTCTTCGCAGACTAACGCATGCAGAGACAGACACTGGGTCCGTCTAGAATACAGGCTTTTGTTGACAGAAGTTTTGTCGACAAAGCTTCTGTCGACAAAGAGTGTCTAGACTACATCGGACAGTGTAGATGCAATAACGCCTTCTCTTGACAGAACTCTGTTGACAAAAGGCGTTACTCGTAGAATAAGGTTTACAGCCATCGACAAAACTGCTGAGTTCTGTCGACGTTATGTTGACAGAACTCAGCAGCAGTGTAGACGCAGGTATAGTTTTGTCGACAAAAGTCCACTTTTGTTGACAAAACCCTGTAGTCTAGACACACCCTGACTGGATAGGGTTGTTTTTGTTCTGTGCTTATGTGGTGGTGGATCTGGCCAGGCAGCTCATAGTCTAAAGACAGAGACAATATGTAGGAAAGGGCGAAGGCAGAAATGAAGGGAACAGTTGAGTTTTACTGGAAATATAAAGGGAAGACATTCTTCAGTGCACACACAACTTCCTATATTCCCCTACACTTTTCCCACAGAAAAGCTGTCAGGCTTCTGGGTGTAAAAGAGACTTTATCTGGGAATATTTTGAAGAAATTCATTCCCTGGGTAAAAAAGGAAAACAGGTCAAGTGTAAGCAGAGCAAGAGGAAGATGCAGGGCCTAGGTGCAAGAATGAAACATCACAAGGAAAACTGCTTATTGGGAGAAAATGATGTAGATGAAGATGTTGACATGTCTGAACAACAATGTGAATAAACTTTGCAATGCATCTTTTGTTGAGCCTTCCTCTATGCCTTTTAGTATATGTGTGATTAAAGAAGTAAATTTTCATAACATAAGAATGGCCGTACTGGGTCAGACGAAAGGTCCATCTAGCCCAGTAGCCTTTCTGCATAGAGTGGCCAGCACCAGGTGTCCCGGAGGGGGTGGACCGAAGACAACAAGCAAGCGATTTGTCTCGTGCCATCCATCTCCAGTCTCTGGCAAACCGAGGCCAGGGATACCATTCCTACCCCCTGGCTAATAGCCTTTTATGGACCTAACCTCCATGAAATTATCTAGCTTCTCTTTAACCTCTGTTATAGTTCTAGCCTTCACAGACTCCTCTGGCAAGGAGTTCCACAGGTTGACTACGTGCTGTGTGAAGAAGAACTTATTAGTTCGCTTATTAGTTTTAAACCTGCTACCCATTAATTTCATTTGATGTGATGTAGTCAGGGGTGGCCCGTGAGCCTAGGCAGACTAGGCAGTTGCCTAGGGCACCGCCAGCCCGGGCGCCCGATGATGACATCTTGGCCATTGATGGCCGAGCAGGCGGGGGCGCTGATCGCACCTTCCACCTAGTGTGTCAGCTGCTGCAGCCGGCCTTGGGCCGCTCCTGACTCTAGTCCTTATATTATGGGAACTAATGAACAACTTTTCAAGTTGTTGATATTGGATGTTGCTAGAAAAAAAAAGCTTATCTTAGCTAATTCCTTAAGGCTTGTTTAATTAGTTAGCCAGGTTTAGAATCTATCACTCAAGTATACAATACTGAAGGCTGCAGTAAGAGAAATCTAGAGCTGCTAGTTGCCTTTGTTTCATTTTCTTATTTTATATTACATAATTCATGCACCTTATTTTTGAACTTCATGTTCACAGACCATACTAATGATGCCATAAGTCTATTCCCTGTTTTACTTCAGCATAACTCAAGCTTTAGTCCCATCCTATTCTTGTTTTCAGTGGGGCATACTCCAAAATTAAGTGCACCTTAAACGTTCAGTCTTAGCTTTTTTGGTAACTTGGAATCAGATCTGCATCAAAATGACAGTCAGAGGGGGGAAGATGAGAGCTAGTTGTGGAAGTTTTAAGGACATTATACATTTAATGTTCTGAGGACTTGTCTGTCAGAGTTAAACTCTTTTTTAATTTTCAAATATTATGGACAGCTATCAGCCGGCAACTCAGGAGACTGCTGCAATTGCAACTCTGAAACATTTGTATAACATTTAAGGTTTATTGTGTTTGTGTGTGTGATTTAGTTCTTACCATTCCTAATGTACCGCTGCTTGACACAGGTAATGAGTGTTGTGTACTATTTCCTAAATTAACACAAAATATACCCTCTCAGATGTTGTAAAATGGTGTACAAAGCTGTAAATTAATGTTTTAGTGATCAGATTTGCTCCATTGTTTGAAGAAATATATGAAGAAGTATTAGTGAGAAATGACTTAAATCAATGGTTTTTTTTTATTCTTTAAATTGTGATTTAAATCAAACTATGCTGCTATAACCCTCATATCCTTTTCTGCAGTACGCTTTGCTAAGCAGTCATTCCCCATTTTGTATTTGTGCAATTGATTTTTCCTTCTGCAGCATCAGACTTTTCATTTGCTCTTTTCATTCTGTTTATTTCAGACCATTCCTTCAGTTTGTCAAGAATCTCATCTTCCAAAGTGCTTGCAATCCCACCCAGCTGATATCACCTACAAACATAAGTGTATCTGTCTATACCATTATCCAAATTCCATCCTGAAACTCCACCAGTTTGCATTGCTCATGTCCAGAATCTAGTTCAAAATGACTTATGTAGGAAACGGCACGTAGACTTACTTCACTTCTCCCTAAGGGCTTTGTATCTCTTCTGTCTCTTTCCTGCCTCACACTCCATACGCCCCAATTTGCCCCTCTGAGCCCTTATACATGATAATCTTGATGATGCAAGTACCTCCAGCTCTACAGCTCATGCCTTGCAAAGCCATCTTCCTGAATCTCTTTGCCTCAGCAGACCTTAATATTTTGCACAAGAAAGCCCAATGGTTAAAATGGCCATTGGAGCTTTCTTGCGCAAAAGCACGTCTAGATTGGCACAGATGCTTTTGCGCAAAAGCACTTTTTGCACAAAAGCATGCTTGCCAATCTAAACGCTCTTTTGCGGAAATACTTTTAACGGAAAAGTTTTTCCGTTAAAAGTATTTCCGCAAAAGAGCGTTTAGATTGGCAAGCATGCTTTTGTGCAAAAAGTGCTTTTGCGCAAAAGCATCTGTGCCAATCTAGACGTGCTTTTGCGCAAGAAAGCTCCAATGGCCATTTTAACCATTGGGCTTTCTTGTGCAAAATATTAAGGTGCCTGTCTACACTGGCCCTCTTGTGCAAGTATTCTTGCGCAAGACGGCTTATCCCTGAGCGGGAGCATGAAAGTATTTGCGCAAGAAGCACCGATTTTGTATATTACAAAGTCAGTGCTCTTGCACAAATTCAAGCGGCCAGTGTAAACAGCTGGCAAGTTTTTGCGCAAAAGCAACCACTTTTGTGCAAAATGTTGCCAGTTTAGATGCACCCTATCTGTTTCCCCATTGATCTGAAAATACCTCTTTTCTCCTTGCCTAAAACGGCTATGTTCACTCGAACAGTGCTTTCAGTTTTTAACTTTGCAGCATAGTTTCTGGCTCTGTAAAACATTCTAGCATTTTATTTTAAAGAAAGATGCTATAGAGGATAAAGCCATAGGGGGAGGTTTTCAAAGACACAAATGGCCTGCAGGCATCTTATTCCCAGGCACAGTCAATGGGAATTAGGGTTCTAACTGTAAAAGTGTGCCTTTGAAAATCTTTTCTTCTCTTACCAAATACCATTGTATTTTTTACTAATTTGAGATGTCTGGTTACGTGTAAGTTGCATGCAAATTATATGGTGAGTGTAATTTAATGGTTTCACATGTGTTCATCTAAACAATTCCTCTAAAGGAACAAAACAGTTTTATCACCGTTGCTCTGATAGTCTCTCTTTATGTAATTCTCTCTCGTCTTTTACAGGTAACACGGTAGCAAAGGATAAACTTGTGTCATTACTGGAACAATGGGATTTGCAGCTGTGTTGCTCGTCTATTTTGCATAGTCCTGTTTTTTCCTCCCTGAGAATGCTGTAGACTTTACACTCAGAACTTACAAAATTAGTGAGCCGGACAATATTTCTGTATCTGACTATGATGGAACTTCCTGGTGCAGGCATTTTTCATGCTGAACTACACACTTTTAATTAAAAAAAAAAAAAAGAATTACGACTCTACTGAAAATACACTTTGGATTCTCCAGGATCCTACACCTGCAGGCAATTCATAGAAACATGGACTTCGGCTTCTGAGCACATCAGCTATATGACTTTATTTATTTACAGCACTGACGGCTGTGAAATCATTTGAATGATTTTTAGATCTTTCAAGTAGCTTGGGGGAAAATGGTTACATTAGAAAGAACTGACATAAATTAATTAGAAGGTACCATCTATCATGTAGTACAATGGACCAATGTAAAGCTGGTCTAAAAGCCAAATGAACCTAAGGGATAATGCTAGTAAACCACGTCTCAATGCATTTTCAGCTGTGATTTAGTAAATATCGATGCTCTATGAAGGTGAAGAAATGACTCTAGTAAATCAGTAGCATTTAGTGTATGCCATACTTTTTTACAATCTGTGCAATTATATTTATTTCCTTAGTTCTAGGTATTTTAAATTTTACTTCATAAGTGGCAGTGAGGGAATGGGGGAAGAGACTAAATCTGAAAGTAGATATAGATTTTATTGTCCTAAATAAATCTGTTCTCTAAGGGAATAACAAAGTATAAATATTCCTTGCCTCTTTGATTCCAGATACAGAAGAGAATTTAGCCATTAGCTAGAAATATTCATTCTGAGGCTTCAAAACAAGAGAAGAAACTAGAACTGCATAAGGAAGGCTTACTAGAAGAAGGGTAATTTGTTTAGATTTTCATAGCTTCAGTTGTATTCTAATAGGGTATCTCACTTAAAATTCATAAGTCCTAGATAAAAAAGATCTTCACTTTCAATTAGTTCTAGTTTATAGTGATTATAATAATTAAATGTCCAGTTTCTTGACAGACTAAATTTTCAAGCTGATATACTTTGTGACACATAATTGTTTCCTATTATTTTAGATGTATTTCATTCTGTTTTTCTTACTTGCCTGTTGCACTTTTTTGGGTCATCAGACTTCATAAATAGAACTGTAAAAGGAAGTGCAGTTGCCGCCAGTCATTTCATGGTTACATCATTTTATGGCTTAAGATGCATTGGAATAGAGGTAAATGCAGTGATGCCGACTGATATTATGCCGATGAACTGCTACTAACCCAGCTACTGAATTCATTGTTTTGCGTTATGTAAATATTACGGTAATAACATACCACTGGTTTTTTATCTATCCAGCAATGCCAAAAAATTGAGACTGTTGCACTAATTTAGTTCACTGTACACAAGCGTTCTAGTTTATAAGGAAAATACCATCAACAATGCGAGGCTGTTTAGAATAATAGTCATTAGTTTGCTTTGCTGGCGTGAGTATAAATATTCATCCAGTCCCAATCTCATTGAAGTCAATGGCAAAACTGCCTTTTGACTCCTGTGGGAGGAAGAGCAGGCCCTATATTCTCGTTTTGGTTTCTCACTTTAATTATGTACTTGATCACCGCTGGGATCATGGTGGTTATTGTATTTGTTAATAAGTAAATGAGAATTTTTCTGCTACGTGTTCTGAAAGCTGCATAGTTATTCCACTTAGTAGACTGTATCCCTCTAATGAACTCGACATTTTAATTTTTTTTCCATTGTAATTTAAGACTAAATTTAAAGAATTGCCTGAAGGATTTAAACTTTTTATGCGTGCAGTGATATAGTTTAAAGTGAAGATTGTTATTTTATATCATAGTAGCCTGCACTTGATTATTATTTATCTATTGTGGTAGGCACCGAACATATACAGAATAAAACACTGTCCCTATTTGAGAGAATCTATAATCTAACTAAAGAAAGCAGACCAAATCTGGGAGAAGGAAGTGGTGGTTATCCCTGCTTTTTAAAATAGGGACTGAAGCACAGAGGCTGGAGGGCTAGATCCACAGTGGGACTGAAGCTATAATCACCACTAAGTCTGATTTGGAACAAAGTCAAATCCAGGTTTCCTACCTCCCAGAAGCTTACCCTAGCTATGAGGCTGTTGGGTTGTCAGGGATGGGTCTCCACTTGCTGGCCTCTGTGACTCCTTTTCTTAGGTACCTAACTTTCCCCATGCATTGTATGGGGAGGCTGGGCAGCTGTGGAATCCCTGGGCAGCAAGATGGTGAAAGTATGTCCACATGGTGCGTGCCTGATGATGGCGTGTCAAGGAGGGGCACTGCATTTCCATGTAGAATGGGTATAAAGAGCAGTATAGGATCAGCGATGATGGTGCGTGCCTGATGATGGCGTGTCAAGTATGGGCACTGCATTTTCATGTCGAATGGGTATAAAGAGCAGTATAGGATCAGTGATGAGCAACTTAGGCTAGTGAGTGGGCCGCATGAGTGGCCTCCTCCATCTCAGTGAGTCGCAGGATTGTTATAACCAAGATGGTCTCCCGGGGTAGGGTAGTTTTGCTAACGGTGCTTGCGTACCTAGCGTTTGTGGGGTGTGCTGAGTGAACTGTAGCTGCTCTTTGATTGCAAGCAGAGGGAACGCATGGCTCTCTCAGTAAATATTGTGTGTCATCAGCACGCACCTCACTTCACCTGCCCTTCATTTATGTGCATGTCACTTTAGTAAAACCAGAAGGGAAAAATATGACGTGGATGGAAACCGGCAGAATCGGGCAAATCTGCACCTGGGTAACAGTAAACAAAATGTCGCACGGGCCACACATAAAATCTCAATGGGCCACATGTGGCCCTCTGGGAGCAGGTTGCCCACCACTGGTGCAGCTGGTGAGATGCTACATTGGTGAGTAAAGACTTGCCTGAAAACTGTGGGTATAATCCTCACACGGCATTCTGTGTGCCCAAGCAATGTACAGCCCCTGTCAACAGTAGTGTCCTGCTTTCTAGCTCCAGGAGGGCCACACATAAAATCTCAATGGGCCACATGTGGCCCTCTGGGAGCAGGTTGCCCACCACTGGTGCAGCTGGTGAGATGCTACATTGGTGAGTAAAGACTTGCCTGAAAACTGTGGGTATAATCCTCACACGGCATTCTGTGTGCCCAAGCAATGTACAGCCCCTGTCAACAGTAGTGTCCTGCTTTCTAGCTCCAGGA